AACCATTCTTGTAAAACAGGGCTACCACTAATTATGTTTTCAGGACATCAAATGCAGCTTGAAAAAAAATTGGGGAATGGTTGATAGCTGTAAGGGGGAAAAAAACTCTATCTGCATTATAGCTGAAGTGCTACACTCCCTTTAAAAGCCACTATGTGAATGTTTTTCACATAAGCCTCGTTGAGCAGAGAGGCATGAGAAGGCACAGAAGCGAAGTGTCTGTGGGCTTAGGGGCGTTCCGGGAAGCAGGAAGGCAGCTACAGAGGACCCTGATCTCTAAAACCAGGATTAAGATGCCATCAAATAGGACATCGTTGCGTCATCTCACAAAATTGGAATATAAATGGTAACTTACCTAAAAGTGATATATTGGTCTTAAATTTGCTGATGTGGATGAATTTTAAATTCCTAAGCACATCCTTATGCTAGCAGCCTAAGTAACTGGAAGAAGTCCTGGCCCCCCAGAAGCTGGGTACACTTTAGGGTTTGGTTCCCTGATAGGAGATGGTAAGACTTTTACAGCAAATAAAGAAAAACATAGTTCTTAACGGTCTAAGGAGTGTGATCTACTTTAGGCTATTGTTTACTATTCTAAAAAGTAAACCATGAAATCTTTTAACAGAATGAATGTGAAAGACTTCATTTTCATTTTTATAAGTTTCACTCTTTAGTATTTCTCAATGTGATAGCCGGGAGGGGTAAATTACTTCCATGTCAAATTGTAGCTCCTGAGGATTTAAAGAGCTCACTTGACATTGTTTTGAAAAATGAGCCTTTACTTTAACCCTTTAATTGTGTAGTTTGTTTGTTTTTTAAACCTTAAACCTCTGAAGACACTAAGATCTTCCATGAGTCTTTCCTGTGCTTTAATTTCTTCGTCCCGTGGGAGGTGGGTAAGTGCCCAGGTGACTGGCCCTGCCCGCTCTCGTCCTCCTTCAGCAGGCATTTCCCTCCTGTGCTCAGTTGCTTTCAGAATTTCAAAACCCCTGATTTTAAGTTTCAAATACTGATTGCTTCATCTGCTATTAAATTTTTTCAAATTCACTTTCCGTTCCTTTGTCCAGCCTGGGAGTGACCGTCCAGGGCAGGGTGGAAGCATGTGGCACGTGTAGGTGGGGAGCGTGGACCATGCACCCCTGTCTCCACCAGCTCTGTCCCGTGGCAGAGGACGCAAGTCTGGTTTTCATCCTTCTCCTCTTGGAGAGATCGAGCGGCGGTGTTGCATGCCTACCAGGTGAAAGGGAGGGACTCTGCCCCAGCTGACCCGGACAGGATCCGTGAAGCACAGGTGGCATTTTAAGGCCAAGACTCTGAGGTGCGGCCACATCGGGCTCTGGCTATAGCAAGCGATGTGGGTTCTCGGGAGGAAGTGCCCCCAGGACAGCCTCAGTCCCTGCAGCCGCTCTGGCCTGGCCCCCCGGGAGCTGCACAGGGTCTCGTGGGGCCCCCTGTTCCTCTCCCAGCCAGCTTCCCCTGGTAACTTGGTCTTGCCCATGACCCTTCCACTTTGACCTCGTATCCACCCTTTCAGGTTTTCTCCAAGCTGCCTTTGATGATGTCCTAAAAATATAATCCGTACGGCTTCTATTCCTTCCATGTTTTTCTTTTAAAATTTACACGAGGCTGGATAAGGCAGGGCGGGAGAATGAGTGTCTGATGAATGTATGTCAGCTGTCGCAGCCAGCCACATCGTGGCCACCGACCTGTGTAGGGAGAGGGGCCCAGCGTGGGGCGGCGCTCTCAGGGGAAGCCCCTACGGCAGGGCTGTCTGTCCCCTTCGGAAGAGGCAGCGAACGGGGCAGAGACTCAGCCTGCCCGGCACAAGCCAGCTTGCTCCTCTCAGAGTTAAACACTTACCGACTGAATTTCCCTATTTGCACTTCGTCCGGAATCCTAAGCAGTAACGGAGGGGGATCTGGAAACCAAGCGAGAGCGCTCCGTGTGGGAGGCCGACCGTGTTCTTGCTCAGTTCCCTTCCTGTGTTGCGGGCCCTGCTGTCAGCGGCTTTGTCGCTGGCATCACCTCCTCGTGCTCTCCCTGCTAGGGTTTCCCTGGATGGACACCTCTCCTAGGAGTTGCTCCGGCGTATTATAAAAACTTCTGGGCCGGGCACTGAGATGGGCCTTGGGAACATAAAGTGGGGCCAACAAAACAGATGCAACACGTACCTTGCCGTGTGCGAGTCTAAGGGAAGAACAGGCATGCCTGGATGGCCGCACCACGGCAGTGGACAGGTGCCGTGACCTCCCAGCGTGCAGGATGGTCCGCTTAGCCACTCAAAGGAGGGGAAGAGGAGTGTTTCGGGCAGGGGGTTACAGCCCGAATGTGTGGTCACGTAGCCAGGAATGCTGCCTTGTCCCTGAGAATGTAGTGTCGCCCTGCCTGGGCTTACACAGCTGTTACCCCATGAGACTGTGAGCTCCTGGAGAGCAGGGATCGCGTACGTGCTCTGTGGTAGGTACTGGACAAGCATGTATTTAGTAAGTAAGAGGTGTCGAACATCATCTTGAAGCTGCTTTCTGTTAGATTTTATTGATATTAAAATATGGCATACTGCTTATAAAAAGCTCTGAAATAACTTGATTTTCCAGAAGCTTTTTCCACAGTGAGGCTGGCCCATAACTGCCCTCGGGGGAGCACGTGCCAGATCGGCATGTCCTCCCCTTATCACCTCTGCTGTTACACACATTGTTCTCTCTACCTCGTTGGCATGGCCTTTAGAGCCTGGCCAGTGGGACACAGATGTGAGGTTCCAAGAGTGTGTCCTGTGGGCTTCTACAGAGATAATCCTCGCAACTGTATGTGAATCACAAATGAAGCAAAGCACCAGGTCTCAAGAATCCTTGGGAAGGTCTTTTGCATAGGCGAGGTTTCCGGGTCACTGAAGATTTACTTTTGGATACTCTGTTTTAAGTCAGTTCCCAATTTTATTTTCTTATTCATTCATTCATTTATTCATTCATGAGAGAGGCAGAGACACAGGCAGAGGGAGAAGCAGGCTCCATGCAGGGAGCCCCATGCGGACTCGATCCTGGATCCTGGAATCACACCCTGAGCCGAAGGCAGACACTCAACCGCTGAGCCACCCAAGCGTCCCTAATTTTCATTTTAAATTATATTAGGGCTTTCCCTAGAAATTTTTAGAAGAAAGTTCCCTTTTTTTCTTTGTTAACAGATTTTCAAGGCTATAATATTGCTAGTGCTTCTTGAGGGGGGTGTATGACATTGCATTTAGAACTGAGGACTTGGCGGGGAGGCGGGAGGGGAAAAAAACAAAACTGAGGACTCCAGGCACCTGAACTCCTCCTGTTTCCTGCTTTATAATTATATCATTGGTTGAAACTTGTAACTGCTGTCAGCACACTTGGCTTCATTACCCCCTCCCCTTTCTGATCCTGGTCCTGACAAACTGAAATTGGAAACCATGGAACCAAGTTGTATTTACTTGCTCGTGTGTTTATTTCAACACTTTTACCTTCTTTACCACTAAATATACATTCAGCCAAATATGATGCTAAGTCCAGTACTGGGGTTACAGAGGTGATGAACGCTGGTCCCTCGTGCTCCAAGAGCCTTCTGGAGGAGCAGAGAAGGTGTGGGAGCACGGTGAGAACTTGGGCAAACCCTTGCACATGAGAGGAGCACCCCCGCCAGGCTGGGCTGCCACAAGGTCAAGGTTGTGTTCAGAGGAAAAGGGACTGGCTGGGCCTCCAATAATGACCCTAAGCTTCCTAATCCACAAAGTGTGTAAACTTCATTGCATATACCTTGTGGCTTCTGTTGTGGCTGCAGAGGCCATTTTCTGTTGTCTACGTCATATTCTAGATTGTGAGTACCTGTTAGGAACTGAGCTTCCAGTGGGTGAGCTCTTACCTGACATCAATGACCTTTTTCCCCCTAGTTTCTATCATTATTACGGATGCTGTTGAATCACTTGATTAAAGGGCTTATCCCAATGTAAGGGTGTACCTTTTTTTCCATTACAGTAAGTAAAGTTTAAGGTAATATCTTGACATTGCATGAATGCCTTATTCCCCCAGAACTTCTCACTTAATGTTTTACAGTCAGCCGTTCCTGGATCAGTTACATTTGTTCCAAAATTGTGATTTTTACCAGTAAAAATTTCATTTCTTCTACGTTTACTAGCTATCCATGTTCTATAAAAACCTTCGTATCCTCCCTCCCTTCTTTTTTCCCCTTCTTTCTCTTCATCATTATAGAGTTTTCTTTATTCAGTGCATTACAGTCTATTAGAGCCATTATTGTTTTGATACATGAAAATGCCCCAAGTGTGGCTAGTCGGAAGCACCTTCAAACTGGCCCCCATACCTATTGACATTAGTTCGTGAGCACATCCTTGCTTTTTGACACAAAAAGGCATTCCAGGCTCACCCTATACTTCCCTTGCCCCACCCATGGAACCCGCCAGCTCTCAAGAAGCTCTCTTTGTGCAGAATAAAATTTAGAAACCAGGACATAGATACCAGGAACACACACTCATATGAAAAAGTCATTGCTCCCAGATGCTTTCAGTGGCTAAACCTAGGAGACAAAAGAGGAGAAAAAAAATTCCTTTGTACTGATGCTTTTTCTAAAGTCTTCATCTATTTATGAACTCTTTTGTTTTTTAGAAACTCAATTATGGTGATGCTTGGAGGTTATCTAAGAACCTTTCCTCTTAAAAATCTTTATATCTTTAAATCTCTTGGATAAGAATAAATGTGTTACTCTTATCTCTCCAGAGGGAGAAAGGACAACTTAATCTCATACTGAGGGGGGAAAAGTGCTCAGAAAGGTTAAATATGTTGCCCAAGCCGACCCTTTTGTACTATGTGCACTTTTTCTAAGTGTATGTGTGCTGTTTTCTGTGATTGGAAAGGGTCATGGGGGGCTACCTTCTATACTTTTTAGTAAACTCCTTTTATATCCTACATTTGTGATAGATCTAAAAAGTGTCCTTCATGTTGCCAATATTTGTAATCTATTCTGGTTACTTTCAGGTGCGGCTAAATCAAGCCCAGCGTCTAAGCCAGGATCCACACCTTCTCGTCCCTCATCAGCTAAAAGGGCTTCATCCAGCAGCTCAGCATCCAGATCTGATAAAGATTTAGAAACACAGGTCATACAGCTTAATGAACAGGTAACTCCTCAGTCCTGGCCTGTGTCTGAGAGGGGAAGGAGGGAGAAAAAAAACTTGGAGGCCTGAAATAAGGGAGGGGGGGCAGTGGTTTCAAACAAGTTAGGGACTAAAGGAATTGTTCAGGCAGATAAAGTCAGTGTCCCTCTAGGAATGAAAGATGTTCATCAGAAATCTCAAAGCTGTACATTAAGACAGAAAGACAGAGGACTCAGTCTCTGGTAAATGCAGGTTTATAGGCCAGGGTCCCACTCACCCCACCCCTACACCATGCACACGCCTCAGTGCTGGTCACAAGCTCCAGGCTGTCCACTTAAGGCCAGTCTGGATGGCATCCAACACTGGAGTTAGGGTTAGTCTTTTCCTCCTTCCTTTCCTTTAACTATTAGTCAAGCCTGTTCTATGTGACAGGCTCCGTGCTTGATGCTAATAATATATAATGGTAGTGAGAGAGAGAGAGAGGGAGAGGGGCACCTTCCCTTCCCTTGTAGAGCTTAGAGCAGTTGTAAGGGATGGGTGATTAGGCCAGCAAAGTGAGCACCTAATACTTCCCACAAACACCAGAAGTTTGATGCCACAGAAGCACTGAACCCCATACTTGTGGGGTGGGGCATTCAGAAAGGCCACGGCTGTGTTTTAAGTTGAAGAATGTTCCCTTTTGTCTAATATTCCTCAGGGTTACCGTAAATCTAACTCTACTGTCTTTGAAATTTTCACTATAAAAGTTTAGGTATGCTGTCTACCTAACAATAGCTAATTTTGTCCAAGATTATATGTAGTCGAAAGGTAATAAAACCACTGGTAGCATAAGGCCCACTGCAGAAGCCACCTCCCCTGACCCTGAGTTGAAGAGAGTCTTTTATCCTGGCTGCTCCCGCCTTTATTCACGGTTCTTCAGCTGTTCCCAGCCAAGTGGCTGGGCCATTCCCGGTGATTAATCTGATTCCTGATGAGCCAGCAAGAGTCTGGAAACAGTTTTTTGAGATAATTGTATATTTGCAATCAGGAGTCTAGTTTAAGAGCAGACGATTGCTTAGCTAGGGTGTTTCTTTACAATTCTGATCACTTTAATGAAAATGGTGAAACCTGAAGTCATCCCATGGATTGGACTTTGATTTAGAAGCTGTGGAATGTTGTAACTACCTGCTGATTCTCAGTTTGAGCCCATATGAAATTTCCAGTAATAGATTCTTCTCAAATAGAAGGCAGGTGGGATGGCCATAATGAGCCTTGGGTCACATGCCCAAGGCTCCAAGCAACTGAGAGTAGACCCAGAGAGAATCAGGCGTGGGTCTGTGATGCTTGAGGTTTATAACCCATTCTCCTTAGGAACCCAAGTTCTTTTGATATCTTTATTACCTCTTGTTCTGTCACCATCTGTCTCCTCCCTGTGAGGGAGGGACACCTCCTCCCTCCCCCTCTACCACACCCAACTCCAACCTTCCAAACCAGAGTGTAAGCACATGGAGACCTCGAGATCCTTCCTGCCTCTCTCCCATTCAGCCTCAGCCAGCCAGACCCACTTCTTCTCCTTGGGGCTGGCTCTACATTCCCATTAGCTGTCCAGTTATGCAAAGAGCCTCCCATCCCCAGGGGAGCCAGCCCTCCTCATCCTGTTATCCAAAAACATCACTCTAGAGGGGAGAGAGGACAAAGAGCAAGAGGAGCTTTCTGGTAGTCTTGTAATTCCATTATTACTTCCAAAGGGCTTCCCTCCCCAGCCTGCCCCCATGTCCATTGAGGAGGACTATGTCTGTTCGCCTCCCCCTCCCAGTTCCTCAGAGGGACGGCCACACACGCCCTGAACTGTGAGCGTTCATTCAGAGGTTCACTGAGCACTTAGTCCAGCTCCATATCTGTCCATCTGTTACCATTCTATCCATTTTTTGTGCTGGTTGCCTGCAGAGAGGCTCCCTGTAGCCTCCTTGTAGCCGCAGAGGCATGATGGTGCTGGCACTGAGGACTCCAGGACGTGGAAGGGCTGAGTGGAAATGCCAAGGCTAAAGAGTGAATTACAGCTGTAACAGAAGAAGCGATGGGTGCCATAAACTTGAAGAATTCTCATTTACTTGGCCTTCTGCCTCCATTCAGGCATCGGTCTCCCATGCCATAGTATGAAGTACCATTGTGCTAGATAATTCCAGTGATAGAAATGAATCAAAAGACAGAGGGGAGGGACCCCCTCTGTGGCTCAGTCCATTAAGCATCCAACTCTCATCAGGGTGGTGAGGTGGAGCCCTGCACTGGGCTTCCTGCCGGGCATGGAACCTGCTTAAAATTCTCTTTCCCTCTCCCCACCAACCCCTGCTCTTTATCTTAAAAAAAAAAAAAAAAAAAAAAAAAAAAAAAAGACAGGAGAAGACATAACATATCCCTGAGCCTTACACCAGGTGCACAGAAAGGGGATAGACACTGCATGTACGCGGGGTATGTTTGAACGGATCAGTAGTTCCAGGCAAATAGCATGTCCAGGGATGCCTGGGCGGCTCAGCGGTTGAATATCTGCCTTCGGCTTATGGCGTGATCCCAGGGTCCTGGGATCAAGTCCCTCATCGGGCTCCCTGCAGGGAGCCTGCTTCTCCCTCTGCCTACATCTCTGCCTCTGTCTCTTGTAAATAAATAGATAAAATATTTAAAAATAATAATAGCATGTACAAAGGCCCAGAATCATTCGAGAAGAAAATTTCCCCTTGCACAGGGGATTTTTAGAAATTCTGTTAGGGGGATTTTTATTACCCTGAATGAGAGATTTCACCTGAGAAGGACCATGAAAGATTTAATTTACCTCCTAAAGAATATTGTTTGTGTAAATCTAAATGCACAAGGGGGTTAAAAAAAAAAAAAAAAGAAGTAAAGGATTCTTAGGGAGCAGGAACTGGGTGATGGTTTGGGCCTGTGTGTTGCTGCTGTGCCCACCTGGGATTTGAGACCCAGTCTGTGGACACCAGGGTCAATGATCCTCCAGTCCAGGTGACACTGTTGCCACCTTCCCTACACTATATCTGTCATCACTGTGAGAGGCCATACAGCCCTAGAAGGTCCTGGAACCAGCACCCAGGGTGGAAAAGGGATTGAAGGGTCTGTTTGGCTAAGGGAACGGGGTTTCCTTCCCTTCCTCTTCCCCCGCATTCCCTGTAATATCTCCAGACCCAGAACCAGAGTTCAGACCAATGCACTCAGCCTGGCTCACAGTCTCTCACCCCGTTTTCCTCATGTAGCTGAGACCCAGTTTCTCAGTAGAAAGCATTTGTCTAGTGTGGCTCAGGGACACTTATCTAGGGTGACTCTTCATGCAAGTTCCCTGAAGGAAGGAGGGTCCTCAGAATTCATCTAAAGTAACCGCAGAGGCAGCCTCTCCCCTCAGCGTGCAGAGGACAGACAGGGTAGGGGGAGGATGTGCCGTAGCCCAGGTTAGCCGGAGAGGAGGAAAGCTCACTCGGAGCGCGGCTGCAACCCTGTGAAGCAGCGCCATCCCTCCGGCCGTGGTTATGAACAGTCAGTTGGCAGAGGGGGTGACAGGCGTGCTGAAGTCAGACACTGTGGCCCGGGCTCAAACTCTGTGGGAGATCTGTCATTTCCTGGTTCGGGTCTTTATAGGCAGGCACAGTGGGGCACATTTCTTATACTGTACTTTGGGGTTTTTTCCCCCACCCTCACTCCCTTGCAGGTACATTCATTAAAACTTGCCCTTGAAGGTGTGGAAAAGGAGAGAGATTTCTACTTTGGCAAGTTGAGAGAGATTGAGCTACTCTGCCAAGAACACGGGCAGGAAAATGATGACCTCGTGCAGCGACTAATGGAAGTCCTCTATGCTTCGGAAGAACACGTAAGTGTGAGGAGAGCCCTCAACTCTTGTGTTCAGAAGCAATGTTCTTGGTCAGGGTGCAGGGATGAGTGACCAGTGTGCCTTCAGATGCTGCCCTGGGATCTGTGGGAACTGTGACTCAGCCAGAAGAATAAGTATCATCATCATTGTGATCTGTTGACCCATGCTTGGGGGCTGTGCGTTCATGAGTTAGTCTGGGAAGAGATGAGTGCATGGGGGTGGGTAGGAAGACTCGTGGAGAAAAATAGGTTTATGCAGCCAGATTTCAAGTGGTTTTCAGCTCTGAGCAGCTGAGCAATAAGAATGTGTAAGGATTCTTCATGACAGATCAGAGTATGGTTAGAGGAAGAATTCGTCTAGATGTTTTTCCCATCCCCATCGGCCCCACATCTGCCTGTTGTGATTTCATAGCTGGTTGTCTTGGTGACTCATTGCCAGTGCAGACCACTACTATGCAACAGCCCTTAGTTGAAAAATATTTTTAAAAGGCCTCTCTGGGGGTGTCTGGCTGGCTTAGTCGGAAGAGCATGCGACTCTTGATCTCAGTGTCTTGAGTTCAAGTCCCATGTTGGGGATAGAGATTACTTAAATAAAACTTTAAGGAGGCCACATCTGTGGGGAAGACCAGGCTATCAGGGCTTGCTACTCATGAGTGTGAGGAAGGCAGGTGGCAGGGGACCTCAGGATGTGGATTCCAGCCTGGTGATGGAAAGCAGGTTGTGAGGAATAGCAGAGGAAGAAGATTCTCAAGAATCCAGGACGGGAAGGGAAAGGGTGGGATAAACAGTAGAGACGAAGTCTCCCTGGGTGGAGAGTAAGGGGCCTCAGCAGCAGAGCAGGCGTGGGAGCCCCACCATGTGGCAGGTATGAAAGAAGGCTAGTGGAAGCTGGTGGGAGTGTCTGAGCCTTGTGGGACCAGAAGGCCTGGGCCCACTCCCCGGGCTCTGTAGTTGAATCGCGTGTGTTCGTACTTGGACAGAATGGGAACGAGTCAACTGGCAAGTTGACTTTATGACTTTATTCCAGCCCAGTACCAGACAAATGTTTACGCCATGTAAGATTTGAAACGCTAGAGCTGAGTACTCTCCACCACATTTTTCATTCCCTCCCCTTGGCCGGCCCAGTTTTTGTTGTTTTGTTTTGTTTTTTTCAAAGCTGCTTCGTCAGTCATCATTGGCTGAGTCAGGCTGTAGATCTGGAAGCCCTGAGAAGCAGCCTGTCCAGGCCCCAGAGGCAGTGATAGCTCCACAAAGTACAGTTCTCCGTATTTTCAGATCTGATTGCAGAAACGTTGTGATTTCTGGTGTGCCTGCACTCCCAGAGCGCACGGGGTAGCCTGTCGAGTGCTCTGTGAGTTACTCCTCTTCCCAAGCCAGTGTGGGTCAGAGGGACGGTGGCCGCTGAGGGAGGACGGCAGTGCGCCGCGTCACATCTTTCCGGCCCCGTGCTGAGGGCGGGAGGAGAACCCTTCCACTGGCCACCTCAAACCAGATCGTGTCCCCAGAGGGAGTCCCGGTGCAGAGGCCATCTCAGGTGACTTCCACATTGAGTCTGACACTGGCTGGCTGAATCCCAGTTCCCGGCAGCAGGGCCGGCCCTGGGGGAGAGCTCCGGCCTTCTACGTGTGACCTTGGTGGGTTCCACCTGAGTGCCTGCCCTTCAGCTAAACCCAGATGAACCCTACATTGCCATTTCAGGGGCAGGTATTTGCTGGAGACACTTCTTCACTAAGTCTTTATTTGGTGATGGCTGGTCCTTGATTCTTGGAGTCAGACCATCCTAGAATAGAATGTTTGGAAGATGTAGAAATCCAGATGGGAGGCTGCATCCAGAAGTAAACAGGGGCAGCTCGGTTCACAGTTGTAGAAACCCAATGGAAGTTTCCAAAGCAGATCACCAGACAGCTGTCTAGTGCTCCTCTTTGTCAGTCTCAGAATCCTTTCCTTAGGGGCCACAGGCATCTGGACTTAATCATTGCTTAGCTGCTGCCCTGTCCGTCTGTCAGCTGAAGCGTGCCTCCTTATGTAAACAGGCACTTCATTCCTGAGGTACTGTCACAAAAGTCACTATCGAGTGATCTAAAGATTCTTCCCCCCTCAACTGAGATCTCTTGGGAAGAGCCTGTGTTTCTGTCATTGGATGAAGCACTGGGGAGACAGGGGACAGAGCCCCTGCCTCAGCGAGGGACCACCAACTGGAATATGTCAGAATGTGATACATGTGATCATAGAGACATAGACTTGTGTGGTGAGCACAGAAAGACAGCCGGGAGTGACAAAGACTTCACAGAGCAGAGGACATCAGGTTGGATGTGAAGAGTGGGAATGTCAGCAGTTACAGAGCTAAGGCAGGGAGAGGATTTCTCAGGCAGAGGAAGCAGCGTGAACAAAGCCCTGAGGAAAGAATGGCTGGCGGGGCTGGTGTGCGTGAGGGCAGGTGAGCCTAACGCGTGCCCTCACATCCATCTAGGAAGTGGGGAGCCCTTGGAGCTTCTCGATGACCCTTCCTCCTCCTTTGCACCCATTTTCCTCCTGTGATAGGCAAGAGCCTTATTCAGGACTGTGCTGCTCTTTCTGATGATTATCATAAGAATGAGGAACTCTGGAACCTGCTCATTCACAGCTACACATTCAGAAAGATGTGATGGATACACAAATACTAGAGTTTAGCAGGTGGTATTCCAGGGCATTGTCTGGCATAGGTGTAGCCTGGTCTCCTACTTACATGTGTGTTTAAGTTCTTCTTAATGAGGCAGAAGAAAAAGATTTTTTTTTCTCCTGTGAGCCTACACAGCCTTGTGTGGGCTGGGAGCACTAAGCTGGGAGACAGAATTACATACGTTCTGCAGACATCCACACCGCCTTGTAACTTGCACCCCGAGCATTAGCAATCTGCTAGTAAGGGGAAAGGGTTGCTCTTGATCCTAGTTTAAGAGGGTCTGGGGTCTGCAGTTCTTGCAGGTGGATGATGTCCTGGGGGGCCCTGCAAAGGAGAGAGCTGCCCCTGGCCTGCTGACGACCACAGAGGCCCCGGCTCAACAAGTATGAAGGGGAGGCCGGGGGTGAGGTCTGAGCTTCATGGGTTCCTGGTCCTGCAGCTGCAGATGCTGCAGGGCCTCCGACACATACACTGTCCAGCTGACACCTCTCCCCCTGTCCTGTCAGGAGGGTCACCCGGAAGAGCCTGAGGCAGAGGACCAAGTCCACGAACAGCAGCCCCAGCAGCAGGAAGAGTACTGAAGCATCCTGGCAGCTCTCGCCTTCAGTTTTGCGTGGGAACTTTTCTTCTGGAGAAACGTGTGGCCTCAAGCTCAACAGAAACCAGTTGTTCCCAGTCTGCCATTACCATCAATCAACACACTGTTGCATATGCCAGCCACTGCGCTCGGTTCCCATTTCCTTTGCCAAGACCCATTAGCAGCCGGCCGTTCGGCGGCCTACCTGAGAGATCACGGGGTCACATATCTTCTACTTCACCACTTGGCTGCTTGAGATTGATTCTGCTCTTTTCATTTCTTTCCAGAACAACTCTCCCCTCCCCACGACCACTACCACTACCACCACCACCACCCCCTTTTTATCCCGGTGTGAAACAATGGTAATTTGATATATGGTATTTATATTGGCATTTCTCAACCAGTGTCACTAGATGTCACACATTTGTGGTGCTTTGATGTTTGCAAGTCTAACCTCTGAACATAAATTTGGTCAAATAATAAATTGGAGCAAAGGGAAAGAGATACTTGATATGAAAGCCATAAGGACAGTAACTTGTTTTATAGGGAAAAAGAGATTCCCCCTCTCCTCCCAACAGTAAAGGGAAAAAAAAAATGGAATCAAAACTAGGACTTCAGGGCCCAGCGGTATTTCTCCCTGACCATGGTAGACCACCACCCAGTTAGTTTTGAAAGACATCCACTCAAGGACAACACCATCTCAACTTTGCCCTCAAACTGCTTGCCCCTTCCCTCCCCACCCCCCAGGTTCTCATGCTAGTTTCTTTCTCAGGGTCCTCTTTGGTGGGCAGCCACTCTTCCCCACAGTCCAGAGGGGGTCTGCCTAGGTACAGGTCCTCCTGCCTCTCTCCGGGTTTCAGCCCACAGCCTGTCCTCCCCACTAGGGGACTCCTACTACAGAATGACTTCAGGGTGTGCAGCCCTGAGGGTCCCAGCCCTCCGTCGTGCTGCACGCTCGCTGGAAGTGAAGACCTCCTTCCTAGGAGCATCATTCCAAGGGAGACTCCTGATTCTGAAGTCTGGTGTTGACACTGGAATGACAGCACAGAAAAATCTAGGACTCCCAATACCTTCTGGAATAAGGAATTTCCCCTCCTTGTCCTTGACCTTTGATAACCGTGGCAATTGCTAAATAGAGGAAACATTAATGAATTAAAAAGCATTCCTTATTTTTTTAACTAATATTTGCACATTTTCTTAGTATCTTTCCAAATCTTCGCCTCTTCTATTCCTTTGACAGATGGTATCCCTCCTGGATCATTCGTTTCACTTGGTTTCTAACTTTAGATTTACTTCACTTGTTATTTGACTTAGCAGGTGCAACAACAACAAACAAGTGTGCCCGCCCCCACTTGCCTCTTAACTGAAAAGCTTAAAATAAATTTCTGAAATATGTATCCTAAAGCTTTGACATTTCTTTATTAATTGATGAAATACCAATTCTAAATTCTAGCATCGGAGCTTCCCACCAAAAGAAGTCTTCTCAAAATCTTTTGCAGCAAAGTGGTATTTGAGTTACAGGTGAACAAGATGGCTTGTATTTCTGAGGTTATTACAACACACTGTGCATAATTGGACAGATGTTCTGTGGTGTTTGGTTTCCCTTTCTTCTCTCTCCTGCCTGTTCTGCATGACGGCGGCAGCTCCTTTCTCTCAGGCTGGCAAGCCTGGCTCTCGGCAGTGACATCCTCCCACACCTGGGCACAGGTTGTGGTTGTGCTATGCGCGGCATCATGCTTAATGGCGTGGTCCCTCCCAGCCTTTTGTACGGACTTTCCTTTTTTAAAAAGAGCTCTTGTAAAGAGGCACAATAAATAATTCCACTCAGATGGTCCTTCAGTGGTTCCTAGGCAGGGACAGCTCAGTGATACCCAGTGCCAGGCGGATCGTGACCTGAACTCCTATCGGGGTGGATGTGATGACTGCGCCAGCTGCTAGGGCATGCCAGTGACAACCACCCCGTCTCTCCCCCGAAACCCCAGCCCTCTCAGCTATCAAACCTACTGGCCAGATACCTTACCTCTCCCCGGTGGTCGTACTTGATTCTTCATCTCAGAGTCTTAGTGTCAGCTATTCATGGATTTCGGAAAAAGAGCCCCAAAACTCCTCTTTCTGTCCCCATCTGAAACCTCTTCCATCATGCTGTATCGCATGTGGCATCACGGATGCTTTGGTGGGGACCCTTGGACAGCTAGGTTTCTCTGCCATCTCTGGCTGCATCCCAGCTTCTGTGCAGACCACCTCCTTTCCCAGGGCTCCTCCCTTCTTCCTGAGGGCTGCCCCCATCATTCTCCCCATCTCGGCATCCAGGGCACACTTTACACCGTGGCCCCCCCCCCCCCCCCGTGTCACTCATCCTCACGCTGGGCTGAGAAGCATCCTTTGTGGGCCCTGCCCTCCCTCTCAGAAGCCGGACTTCATTCTTAGCCACCCGGCGGTGGCTGGTTATATAGCACTTCCACGGCTCATGTCAGATAGGAAGTGATCGAAGCAGGGGGCAGAGAGGGAGCCCGTCTTCTTTCTAAGCAGAAAAGCAGAAAAAAGCCAAGACAAACACCTTGTTGACCAGAGAGAAGTAAACTCCAGAAGGGAACCAAGAATCCTCCCTTCCCTGGTGAGTATTTCCATTATTCCGTTAAGGTTTAATATGCATTCAAATTACTTTTACTAAATAGTACACCATAAAGCTTTTGTTATATATTAAATGTAAACTGAAAGGAATGTAAACATATGTATTGTTAATTATAAATAGAGATAAGAAATGACACCATAGATGAAAAAGTCTTATTCCAGTGTATCCCATTCGTCTTACATCGCCCTATTGTCGCATGGTAGACTAGTTTTTTTGTCTCTGAATATGTGAATAACTTGACTTGCGTTTATCTTTTTACATATTTAATAAAAAAAAGTATATGTTAAAAGGACCGGATCTACCGATTCTTAAGTTTTTACGCCAAGACTTCCTTCCGGGTGAGCGTGTGTGTGAATAGGCTATTTACGTGGATTCACACATTACCCGCATCTTATGATTTACAGGGGCGGCGGTTGCTTTTATTGGTGGCAAATGTTTTCGCAGGAATTAAAGATTAGTATCTGATATCAAATGTAGCAGCTGATACCTTTTTAAAAACTTTGCCCAAAATAAAGGAAAGCCGTTCCCCTGGGAAATACTGCACTTGCAGGCAGACAAGAGGCCAGCGCCTGCAGGTCCAGCCTGCTCCTCTGGACAACACGGGGCTGGGCACGCAGGAAACTGTGGGAGAAGCAGGCAGAGGTCTCGAAGCTTCGTGGCAAAACGACCCAGGATGGGCAAAAGCTCTCCGGTTCAGCGTGTGATCCCCCTCTATCTAGTTTGACGACTGACCGATGGTGATGATTTGTACACATAAAGAGAATACCAACTTAGAGGCACAGAATAGGTGAAAAAGCAGAAATGTCTTAGAAGTGGTTCCGTGAGCCGCCTGGAGAGGCTGTAGAGCAGGTGTCCCAGGAGCTGGCAGGTTACTGAGGCTCAGCCAGCACTCTCCCGGAAGGATGCCTGCCTGCCCTAAACTGCTTTCAAGCACCACCTAGAGGCCAGTTTGGTTTCTGTACGGTCCTGTGGCTACTATTTTCCATCCACTTGCCTTTGGGCCCTTTTAAGAGCAGAGAAGTGGAAAAAGGACAGAAGACAAAGATGCTACCATTCTTCTCCATCTACGCTCATGTCTACACCGGGTAAGTTTGTGACAGAAGTCTGAGCCGTCACCTGCGTTGGGAAAGCTCATGCTCAAAACACACACGTGTTTCCATTGCATCCACCAACCCTGGGATGTTAAACCCCAGATCTCACACTTCGACACCTGCGCACAAATAGTCCAGAACACAGGTGCTCTAGCTTACCTAGAAGGCACGCTGGCACACTCTAGGAAACACCACTAATGGTACAAAAGTGGCAGAATAATGTGTTTGCTCCATTTTATGAAATCTGAGAGCATCTCTAAAAATTGAATATGTTCCTCCTGGTACTAAGGGTAGGTCCATGAGTCCGGGGGGTGGGGTGGCAGAGAGGAGTTCATGTAATTCCACTAAATTTAAGTTGTAAAAACACCAGTTCTCTAAAACAAAACACATAACTTCATTTCTGGCCTTTCTTAGTCCTCTTCACTGCTAGACACAGCCACTATCTCTAGCAAACTCACTGACCCAGCCTCTCAGCACCAACCCAGTGCAGCCACACAGCACAAGTTTGACAGCACGGCATCTCCTGTTGTGTTGAGCTAGGAACTCAGACCTTCACTCACTGGAAGAGTTCTGGCTTTATCACCTAATGGAAGGCAAACCTTAAAACTCGTCGAGCCCTGGAGGACCCTCACATGCACCAGGACTTCAAATCACATCACATCCCAAGGGCAGACCCCCCACCCACCCACCCCCAGCTCTGACCTAGCCAGACCTCATACCTTGTACAGGTAGGGCTCACATAGAAGGTGCATTTGCTGAGGTGTCCCGCCTCCTGTGCTGGCATTAGGATGATTGTAAGAGAAATGGAAGGCCCAGCTAAGCTTATTTGTTGAAAGCATTTTTCTTTTTCACTGAAAATGTGGAATTGTTCTAGCTTGTCAAGCTTAACTGCTTAAACAGATTTCCTGTGGCATTTTATAACTATTTTGTTAAGACTGAGTATAAATGAAATGTTTTTAAAGGGTAATAACATTATCAACGTATGTCTGAATTTATGATATTCAATAGGAACTAGCCCAGTACCCAAGTGTGTTCCTTTTCAGAAAAAGTACACATTTCCTTCAGTGTAGCAAGCATCCCTCATTTCTACACTATGCTATTTTTCTAGGTCTTGAAGGTTATCTGTATTTTTTTTTTAATTTTAAGGTAGGTTTATCTTACTTGAATGGGTCAAATCCGACTGCTGTCACATGTTCATTTCTAACCTTTAGAAATTAGAGAAGGAACAAAAAATTCCCGTAAATATATTCACAGTTGTAATCTGATCTAAATTCACAGTTTACCACTAGGATGCTGTCTTCAAATCTGACATATTTATTATATAGATGAAATGTGCTTTCTCCAGTGAAACCATTTTTTACCAGCTTCAAAATTTTTCCAGAGAGAGCCTATAGAGGATCACCTCAAATGTCAGTCTCTCAGAGGCGAAGCTCTCTCAAAGACAGGGCCAGGGGTCATCCTGTCCTGCAGATCCAGACACTGTCCCATCACATGAGCTAAAAATTGGGGGTGGGGGGGGTTGCTGAGAAGGAAAAATGTGAATTTTGCCTCAGAAAATTTTCAATTTTTCTTGAGAGAGTGGTTTTGAAATCAATGTCACAGAACGCTTGACCAGTCACAGCTAAGACATTATCAGTACAACATCTAAGGTCACCTAGCTTTCCTTTCTTTTTTAAAGGATGAAAAACATATTCCTTTTCAAGATTTAATAGGTACAGGATGAACGGTTGTATTTGTCATATACAGATCTAAAAAGGCTCAAAATGCAATAAATTTTCTTTTCTGAGAACATGATGTTGGAAATTGCAGGCAGGTGGTTGTATCTTCATTGTACTAAGCAAGGACTTGACAGCGTAGGTAGTCCCTAGTTAAAACACAATTTTGTTAGCCTCCAAGTATTAAAAAGAGGCTCCAAACATTTATTTGCAAACATTCCTACTAGCCAGTTTACATGCAATTTAAAAACGGTATGCCGGACCACACAGCCATACACTCAACACAGGACATCACTGAAAAACCCTCCTATAACTCCCTGGTGCCCCACCTGATGAGAATGATGGTCACACTCGAGAGTCCTGTGCTCTGGTGTTCTGTTACCCACACGGGTTTGCAGGTCATGAAATGCTTCTCCTATTTTCTTACGTGACTATGCTGCATTCCACAAATTAAAAAAAAAAAAAAAACTGGGTGCATCTATATGTAGAAGTGCCCCCAAAGCCAATATGGCTGTACTCTGGGGCTGAATTTGCTGAGGCTTTTGAAGACGTAAAAGGAGGACTCTGAACAGTCAGACCCGTCAGAGCTGAGCCTACAAGAGCTTTTAGGTTCCTCATTACTCCCTACTTTTCTAGCTCAGTGGCAGTCCCCTTACATGATTTCCCTACCGAAGGAAAGACTGCAAAGGGGACAATGATATAAGAGGTGATCCCTCTTCCTTTTTAAGACACTTTAAGAATAATCCAGTATCCTTCCTGTTTTGGAAATGGCATGGGGGTTGGGAGCTGACTTGATCTTGTCAACCCAGGTGTGGCTCCACAAGAACAGATTAGCTTGAGGCAGGAGCTATGTGCTCACTCCAAGGACAGGCAAGGTAAGAACCCAGGCCCTGGGGAGCGGGGACGGGCAGCTCAAGGCCAGCTGAGGTGGGCAGTAAGCAAAGGGCTGGTGAGAGGAT